TTTTATTTTGTAGATCTCAATAAGTGCAACAAAATGAAACCAAAATCATAAAGATTCGACCGACCTAGAAGAAAGTTATGGCGAGTTGCTCGAAAGAGGACTGGTCATTTTGGTGGTCATTTCGTTACACTCGTTGCATATATACAATATGAAACCAAAATCATAAAGATTCGCCGACCTAGAAGAAAGTTATGGCGAGTTGCGCAAAAACCTAGTTGCGCAAATGACCCAGTTGCGCAAAAATTTGGCGCAAAGTAGCCTATCCCCAGATTTCTCAAAAAATCAGTTTTTACATTGGAAGGGAATTTCCGACTAAATCAGTTAAACGACTGAGTATCTTTAAAAAGTGTCGTATATACCGCGGGGCTCGTCATTTTTTTGCAATAATTTTTGCTAAAAGTACGGTAATTTTTCCCAATTGTGCGTTTTAAAAAACGCATTACTCGCGAGGAACACACTCGGGGTAGGCTGGTTTCTGCAACTTTTTTGAGCAACAGGGTCATTTGCGCAACTGGGTCGTTTGCACAACTCGCCATAACTTTCTTCTAAGTCGGCCAATCTTTATGATTTTGCTTTCATATTTGTATATATCAATGAGTGTAACGAAATGACCACCAAAATGACCAGTCCTTTCGCGCAACTCGCCATAACTTCCTTCTCAGTGGGCTAAAATCTTTATGATTTTGGTTTTATTTTGTTGCACTTATTGAGATCTACAAAATGAAACCAAAATCATAAAGATTGGTCCACTTAGGAGAAAGGTATGGCGATTTGCGAAAAGGCCAATTGCTCAAATGACCCTGTGCAAAAAAATTGCGGAAATTAGCCTACCCCACACTCCTCTACTCAAAAAGCCTATCAACTCTATAATTATAGCAACAATTCAAACAGCTAATAAAAGCTAAAATTTGAATTGATTGACTAATCGATCAAAGACAAAGATATATCAACATCAAGTACTTTTTGTATAGTTTCTATATTTGTGCAGTATCTCTACAACACTGCAATGAGATTTACTCCTTTTCGGTGAAAAGAGGAGTAGAAGAGAGGAGAGCGCTCAATTATACTATGCAAACAAGTCTCCCCTTTTCACTCTCAGTCAGTTTCCCCCTGCATTCCTCTCCTGGAAAGCTCTAAACTTGAAGGTTTACTCGAGAATTCCTCTCGATTTTCATCCAAAATATCAGCTTTATATTATTTTTACACCGAAAAAATGATAGCAAAATAAAACCAGTTAACTAGTTCTTTCTGAAAGTTACATGATTAGACTAAAAGTTTGTAACTAAAGTGAATGCGAGTGGAACTAAAATTTTTATTTTTATCGTTTCTTTTTTCAAATACTGAGAGGTGATCAAGAAAGTGAAAAGAAATGTAATCAATTTTGGAAAAATCCCAGAAAAACAAAAACAGACTGGAAAGAAACGCTTGGTAAAGTTTCAAGGAGTTCGAAAAATGGCTTATCGATTTTTAAAGCTACTATTCTAATGATTTCATGGAGATAAAATTGGTTCAATCAAACGCTTGGTTGGTTCAATCAATCGGTTCAATCATAAAATTAGTTCAATCAATCCGAGCAATTGCAAACCCATTGACTTATTTGGATTTTGAGATCGATTTTCAGAATAAAGCTCAATGATGTAATAGAGGTTAGGAACAGATCTGAAAGTCTGAAGGTTTTTAGAAGATTGAAAAAAGGTCTTAAAAGCAATGTCTTTGCATCATTCCTGAAAACTGGTGCCCGATCAAAGCCAGAGCAATGCAGCTGATCGCGCGCAGAATGATCGGTGTTGGGGAAATCGGGAAGAAAATGAACAGAAATTGGGATGAGAACGAAAAAAGAAGAAGAAGAAGTAAATAGAAAGTGTGGACAGGGGTCTTGAAGATGGGAAGAAGAGAAATATTTGGGGAGAGAAGGGGAGAGGTTGAAGGGGTTGACGGGGTTGGGGAGGGGGGTCCCAGTGGTTCGCTCACAGGGGCCGCCGAAAGCAAACATCCGCCCTCCATGGCCACCTCCATTCCCCTATTAAATGAAACACTCAAAGAAATGATAATATGAAGAGAACAGAAAAAAAAATAGCTCTTTAAATGAGCTTAAAGCTTTGGTTTTTGAAAACAATGAAAAAGAACTTAGTAGTGAGCAATTTGTAGAGCCAATCTTATGAACGCCTTTTCCCAATTCAAAGATTTAAATGAAATGACAAAGGAAAACATTTTGCCATTCGATTGAGAGTTATTTTTTTGTATCTAACCGAAGACCTTGGAACAACCCGTATTCCTCTCTCTTTCGTTTCCCTTTTTTGATCTCAGATAATACTGAAAAGGAAAGACAAACACACAAAATCATCGTCGAATTTCAACTCACCGAATCGCACATTTTTCTGTGCCTTCAAAGAATCTCTCTTCGTTGGGACGACTTTATTGATCGTGACGTTTCGACGTTCTGGAATTCTTGGCAACTTTTTTTTGTGAACATTTTTGGTTACCTGTCGCAGTCCCAGGAGTGTCGCTTTCGCTTTTTTGTACATGATGATCGAAAGGAAAGTTTGATAATATGAATAGCACTGAAATTTTGAATATAAAAAAAAACCGCCACAAATTTCAGCTACGTACAAAAAAAGCAATCGATTTTCTTTTGAAAAATAAATAGGTAGGTAAAAAGAGAGACGAGGAAAAATCGAAAAAGACATTAATTTTTTTCTCGGGATGGTTCGAGGTGATCGATTGCTGGAGCGGTAATTTGTTTTTTGAGGAATTTATGTATGAGTTATCGCTTTCGAGAGAGACCCATCTCGGGGATACAGTTTTTGCCTTTGCTTAATTAACCTCATTTTCAGACTTTCAAAAATGAAATTGTAAAGCAAAGGGTCGGTAGTGAGATTCTCTCAACTAGAGTGTTTTCCAAAGCGCATCATCTTTTGAAAACTTCCGTACTCCTGGTTCTGTTTTTTCTTATTTTGTAGGAGTTCCGAATGATACCGAAAGAAACACAAAAAAATAGTAGATTTCACAAAACTCGATCTAAAATTACGGTAGCTTACAAAAATTGGCGCGCTTAGAAAATGCTGTAGTTGAGAGAAGCACACAAAAGTTTAAGCTAGTACGTCAGACGTATATCAATTGCTGAATTGATGCTTGAAGCAATGATTCGTTGAGAAATCAAATCCCAGTAATAGAATCAAAAACCCATTCGAATTTTGAAGGTGCTACCGTACGGGTAGCAAAAGGAAGGCGAGAGGGAAATTGATGGATCCAGGAAAATTGTCGAGAATGAGAGTTTGAAGGGGAAATGAAAAAAAATATGTGAAAGTCATGGATGTGATTGTTGCCATGGAATTGAAAAATTTCTCATGTACAATTTCGTTTGCGCCGATTTTTTGAAACAATTAGAGAAAACTCTCGGGTGCCTCTGGAGACCAGTAATTATGGCCGATAGATGGCGGTGAGAGATTGAAAAAACTCACAAATACCTGGGGATTTTTTTTTTTTGAAGGATCGAGAAACCAGCCACTCACAACCAATCATGTATTTGAAAACAGCATTTTACAAATGGTGACATTCTTTACATAATTTTTTCGTTTGACAAGCGGTACTTAACCGGATAATACGAAGTCTTAGTTTACTGCATAAAAACTGACCTAGTTCGCTCGTGTCTATTGTTTATCTTTCATTTCAATGCATTTTTAAACGATAAATTTATTCGGAAGTACACACACACAAGAGAAATCCAACGTACCAAAGGTCATATATAAACAACACGAAGACAGTATTTAATGATGAAATTAAAAAAGACTAGAAAGAGAATCAATTCAAAGTAAACAACTTACAAATTTGAATACCGCAACTACCGCAACAAAAACTTTGGTAATTTTTATTACCAAAGTTTGACGTAGTACTCGTTTCCGTTCTCTCTCAGCTGCTTGATGCGTCCAAGATGTCGAAGACTTGGAATCGCCGTTTTGAGAGCCAGTTTACCCTAAAATTATTTTTTAGTCATGGGTAGAAACTTTTAATAGACATTTTAATTTTGCTTTTTAAATCAAATACTCTACAAGACCCTCTTAGGAAAAATAAATTATAGATAAATCAACTAACCTTGCCCGTTAAAGATGCACGAAGTTGCTTTTCAGTCACATAGGCTTGCCCTTTCCAGTTTGGCGCATTCCTAGAAAAAATTAGCCTGGTTACAAGCTAAAAATAACTGACCACTTTCCGCCATTCGTCGGCTTTAGCCTTTCGTGGATAGCCAACTTGATGTAACTTCGTTTGAAAAGCTTGGCTTTTTCGATGAGCAGTTTGTCGATTCTTAACACAAAGAACTATAAGACAAAATAGAATGGTTTTACGTAGTAAGAACTTCATTGCATTCCGTGACAGTTAAACGCTGACGAATGTACGTTGGAATTGCGGCAATATCCTGCTCGGATAGGAGAAAACCGTCTAATCGGTCGGCTACCTAAATTACAATTGAAACAAATGAATCAATCAAAGAAAATTACCTCAGAGTTTAGCGTGGCTTGTTGGAGAGCATTTGTTTTGTTTTCTTGTACCAGTGAAACGGCCGCCAACTAAAATCCAAAATGAAGAAATCAGCAAAAAAACATACCTTGTTCAATTCCGGTTGCTGTGCTGCAAAACGCACACCTCTCTAGAATTAAAAGTCTTAAATTAAGACAAAATCCATAACATATCATAGTACATTTCACTTACCTTCTCAAGCAGTTGCTTTACGCTCTCCTTGACTTTTTCTTGCTGATCCAAAAGTAGTTCGCGTTCTTGCCTTTGAGCCAAAATTGTCGCTTCCAAAGTCGTCAACTTCTTTAGTAGTTCCGCGAGCCCATCAATTTCTAAATAATTACTTGATTTTTTAGCCAAATGATTACTTGATACCTGTTGACGTGGAAGAGCAAGCCAAGCTCGAGATGATTTCGGTCAACCTAATAAAAAGTTTCATAAACTTTTGAAAGTTACCTCTGCCAGAAGGGTTTCGTAGTGTTTGATCAGCGGAAGATATCCCTAAAAAATTCCAAATATTAACTTGGAAAAACTCTTTACCGAGCTGATAGTAAAGGTGCCATTAATTTCTTTGCCCTCAACCATGATTCGAAGCTTCGGGTCTAAAAAATAGCTTTACAACACATTTTGACTCATTAATCAAATTCTTATGTAAAAGGCTGCAAAAAGATATGTAATGTAAACAACGAAGTCATGGATTTGGGCCGTGGCTTGCAGCTGTCTTTGAAAATTTTAAAGAGGCGCCAATTCTCCCGTTTGGAGTACGGTAATATTTACCCCGCAAGCGTTTAACATGCAATTTGACGTTGTTTCAAACAAATAGGTAACCAAAAAGAGTAATGTTTAAAAATTTATTTGACAAAAACTAATTAAACAACAACATTGACGGTTTTTCCCATTAACTTCCCGATTGGAGATGTCGAGTGAATTAACTTCCCATCTTCCATGGCCAGCTTAACCGATCCTGACCAAAGACCAAAAGCTGATCTGATCTAAATTTCAATAATCAGATATATCAATAATCTGGACCAACAGATAACTCAGCTTTCATAGCTGACTGCGGACCGATAACATGCTTACCTCATAAAGCAAGTCCGAATATTTTTCCATTTTTGCGTCCTTTGTCGTGAGTCGCACAGACAAAGATTTACCATTGTAGAGAACAAGAAGTTCATCTTGCTTAGCGCTTGTTTTGCTTTGTGGCCCGTTCTCGCTAACTAGCCAGATCTAAACTGAACAGTTCAAAAAGTATGTGAACATCAAACCTTGATTTCCCCGGCATCCCTTTAATTTTGGCTTGCGCTTCTGCCAACTCCACATCCACTTTCATTCCCGTGGGCGGAGTTTCAAAAAACATTGGTGTACCGGTAGCCTAAATATACTTTTTTCATGAAAAGCTTGGTAAAGGTAACAACCTGTTGAATCTTTTCCTTGTGTGCATCAAGAACCAAAGATAATTTACACCCTGGTGGAGACACAGTACAATAAACAGAGGCTTTGTCGGTTTGCACTAACTTGGCCTAAACTTTGATAAAAATGTTAAAGCAAGAATTCAAACAGCTTTGCGTAGCTTCTGAATGCGATTCGTGACCTCTCGAGCCAATCCTTCTTCTAGCAACGTATCATCTTCCGAGACATCGACAACCACGATAGTCTCAAATCATTACTTTTTAAACTTTCAATTTTTCTAAGACGTACATTAACATCGGAATGATATTCATGGTGTGTCGCCGCTTGATCACCCATCCCCCTGTAGCTGACTGAAACCTCTTCGCTTGTCAATTCGTATCCCACTACCACCAATTTTCCTAAATGTCTCAGTAAAGATCAGTTTTACTCAAAAGATTAACAACCTTCATTCAGAAATTGTGCAAGCTCTGCTTGACTAATTTCTTTCTTCAAATACTCGGCCACTTTCTTCTGATCGCCTTTAAGTCGAGCCCCGAGTAAACGGAAGTTAGGTTCAGCCTAAAATTATCTATTGGAGAGTTGGTGCAAAAACTTACTTTCAATCGAACTCCATACTTTTCCTTATCGCTGCTCACAACAAGCTTGCGACATTTAACTAAATGAATCTGTATTTGATACAAACTATGTGAGACTTGCCTCGGAGAGAATGTAGTGACTCAAATTATCAACATCGTCAAGAAATTGTGCATCTCTGTTGATTACAATCATCTCTTTGAGCGGATACTAAATCTCATCTTTTTGCCTGTCTTCGAACTATAATCAAACCTTGATGGCAATGCCTTTACGATCTCGCACTACTCGGACCAATTCCATGACAGACCTCATAGCCTAAACACACTAGTCAATTGTACTTTTTGTCTAAAAACCTGAACGCTTCTTTCAACACCTTCATCAATGGCGTCTTCATTTGGCTTTGGAACCAGACAGAAATGAACAGATTCTTCAGTGGCCCCAACCACCTAAATATTTTTTCGTTGTAAAGTTTCTAGATGAACCTGTTTGAGATGTTGCCACACGTATTCCGAGAAGAATGGTGTAAACGGTGCCATCAAACGGCAAATGATGGACAGAACTCGGCATAGTACTGAAAGGGCCACGGCTTGTTCTTCTATACCACTTTCTCCCTAAAATAAATTCTTAAGCTACGTTCAATTAGATAGTCCAATCCAATTCAAGTACCTTGATGCGTTTCCTGTTGAGGCGAATGTAGCAATTGGTTAACGTGTCGAAGAAACGTGTAAGTGGCGCAACGACGGCATAAAGACGATACCTAAATGATACTATTACAAAAATAATGTAACCTTTAACGTACTCATTCATTTCTGTTGTTACAAAACGCACAAGAGAATTGGTGAAGGACTCAACCCAACGATCCATGACATTTCCGTCCTTGGCAAGTGGTACGAGCTCAAATGGAGCTCCACTTTCCTAAATTAATAAAGCTTTTTTTTCATCAAACTGGCACATACACTTTCATAAGTCTTCAAGTTTTGAGCCAAGAAGCGATACGCATTAAACCAAGGCAGGAAAACATCTTTTAAAAGCTCATTGACTCCACTTTCTCGGAAACGCAAATTTTCTCCACGAACCACAGGCGAGTTGATCAAATAGAGTCTACAATAATTTTTTCAGTATGCACACATTTTTCATACCGAAGTGCATCTGCTCCATATTTATTGACGATTTCCATAGGGTCCGGATAATTCTTCTTTCGTTTGGACATTTTACTTCCATCTTCGGCCAAGACCAGCCCATTGCAAATCAGATTCTAAATAGAATCGTGCTTTTCTTGTTGCATGCTAGCTTTCTTAAGATAATGATTTAGTTTTTCCAGTTCATTAGTATCGAACAAGATGAACCTCACAAGAAGTCTAACCTTGAATGGTGGCTTCCCAAAAAGACACGTTGAAAGTACCAATAAAGTGTAAAACCATCCTCGAGTTTGGTCAATGCCTTCAGCAATGAAGTCCGCAGGGAAATTTTCCTAAACAAATTTATGGTACGCAAATCAAAAAACAGTTTAACCTCAAAGATTTTTTTTCTTTCAAATGGGTAATGATTCTGTGCATAGGGCATCGATCCAGATTCAAACCAACAATCGAACACTTCGCTGACTCGTTTCAAAACCCCTCTTCCTGTTCGTGAAGGAATGGTAATATGATCAACGCTAAAAATTTTTGCCATAGGAAAAATAAACTATATCACCTTTCTCGGTGAAGATCGGTTATCTTTTCGCCGCTCAATTCTTCTAGTTGTGCAATTGAACTGATGCACACAATTTCTTCTCCGTCATCAGAAACCTAAAAAGGTTAAATGATCAATCAGTAAAGATCGGCTAACCCAAAGATTTATTGGTGTGCCCCAAAAACGATTCCTCGAAACTGCCCAATCACGCGCATCACGAAGCCAGTTTGCAAAACGCTTCTCTTTGACTATTGAAGGAACCCTAAAATGAATAATACAAAAATAATAAACAATACAAAACCAATAAGTCTTCTCATTGTTCTCCAATAGTTTTGGCACGACTTCTTCTACTCGAATGAACCATGAAGGGACTGCTTTGTACAGTAGTGGAGTATCAGAGCGCCAGCAGAAAGGATAAGAATGTTCAACTTCGCCGCGATGAACCTAAAATATTTCTAGTGTTTTCACGTTAATCAAAAATTAAAGTTGAACTTGCCCAAAAAACACTTACCAGATGTCCCCTTTCCTTTAAATTCTTGATGATGAGCTTATCTGCTTCTTTGACATACATTCCAGCCCAATCAGAGACTTCATTGGTAAAGCTAAAAGATTCAACATATAGTCATTTTAATAAGATTTACCGGCCAGTTTCATCAACAGGACAAACGACCTTCATATCTTTAGTGATGATTTTGTTTTCAAGGCAAACTTGGAAGTCAATCTAAATAAAGAAATGAAGAAAGAAATTCACTCAAAGCATACCTCTCCAAAGTAAGGAGCTTCATGTACAACTCCCGTTCCTTGATCAGTGGTGACGAACGTGTTGACGAGGACACGGAAAGCATTTCGCTCTTGGCGCATATGTTTGAAATATGGAAACAGCGGTTCATATAAAGTACCCTCGAGTTTTTTTCCCGGGAACTGAATTAAAACACATTAAATTAGTGGCAACTTTGCTCAACCTTTTCCAAAATCTCCAAATGATCATTTTTGAGTTCTCCAAGGCGGCATTCCATGACAATGTATTCGACATTTGTGTTTTTATCTGAATAGAACAAAATGACTCATGGTCTTAAAATGTAGTATACCTCGTGCCAACACGTATTCTAAGTCTGGATGAACAACGAGAGCCAGATTAGAAGGCAGTGTCCACGGTGTGGTGGTCCACGCGACCAAGTATCGATTTTCCATATTTTCAACTTTGAAACCAACGCAAACTGAAGTATTCATAAGAAAAGTAGAACAAATTTTAAAATACCTGCCGGATCGTTGACCATTTTGTAATTTAAGCCAGCTTCGAAATTCGATAATGGAGTGCAGCAAGCAGTAGAATAAGGCATCACCTGAAAGTCATGACTGATTTGATTTGAAAAAAGGGGCAAACCTTGACTCCTTTGTAAACAAGGCCTTTCTTGAATAACTCTGAGAAAGCCCACCACACGGACTCCATGAACCACGGATACATCGTTTTGTAGTCATTCTTGAAATCGATCCATCTAATTTTGGTATTGATAAACTATATAACTAAATGAAACTATATAAATATATACCTTCCCATTCGATTAACGCTGTGTTCCCATTCAGAGGCATAACGCATGACAATCTTTCGACATTCCGCATTATATTTATCAATTCCCATGGCCATGACATCAGCAGGTCCACTGATGCCAAGCGCTTTGTCGATTTCATATTCCTAAATCAGCCGTTAATCGTTCGTAAAGTAAACTGTATCCAAATATCTTAAGATCGATAACTTACGACAGGCAATCCATGGGTATCCCAGCCGAAGCGGCGCTCCACATAATGCCCAGTTTGTTGAGCCCAGCGTGTCACAACATCCTTGATGGTCCCTAAACAGTACATCTAGTTTTGAAAACTGTTTCAAAGGTACCTGCAAGAATGTGCCCATAATGAGGCAATCCGGTAGCAAAAGGGCGGCCCATCGAAGAAAGTGTAATGCGGTCGATTCTTAGCCAGTTCCAGCGATTTCTCGAATGTTTTGTTCTCGTTCCAAATCTTTAAGATTTTCGCTTCTTCTTCGGCGAAATTAATCTTTTCTGGCACATGCTCAGTGGACGAATCCATAAGGCCCTGAAATAAAAAAACTGCATGAAAAGAAAGCAAGATACAAGAGTACTGAAAAGAAACGCATAATACTCCAACAAGGTATCAATAAAACACCTATTTATGCAATTCAATGTCCAATTACATCATGATTTTACTAGATTAGCATTGAAATGTGTAAATCTGACGAAAAATTGAGATTTTGCGTTTGAAGTTTCTCTTTTTCTGTGTGGAAAGTAAAGAATGTATACGGTGAAAAGAGCGCTGTGCCAACAAATAACGTCATGTAAAAGGGGGAGCTTTCTGAACTGCAAGTGATTGACAGAAGCGTAAAAGCTACGCACTAAAATACTTTTCGTAAAGAAACTGTCGTCTTCAATTAGAAAAAATGCGGGGAAATGGCGGCAAAAATTTTGGTGTTTTGATGGTTGGGAGGGACCACTTTTGGCCTGGCTTCGTCGAATCTAGTGTTTTGAGCATTTCGTATCGATACTTTTCTTCTATTTCAGGGTAATTGTATATGCTGAAGCGATTGGTACTAATTTTAGAGTATTTTCAACATGTTTCAAGTTAGTATTGCAGCTTCCCAAGTGTCATCAACTTTGAGATAACGTTCGGTGGTTAAAGTACAGCAGACTAGAACACAGGGCAAGTCATGAAATAGGATTATCAAAAACGTGCTTAAATTAACACCAATCGCTTCAGCATATATCTGTATCTTCAGAATAGAAGAAGAGTATCGACAAAACACTAGATTCGACTAACGAGGGAAGGTCACGAAATGAAGGTGGCTAATCGAAATGAGACCTAGACCATCAGATGCAGAATTTTACGCTGATTCCGAATCTGCTGTCCATTTTTGCTAGATAGGTCGGAATCGCAAGGAATTTGGCAAACAAATTTTTTGACCTCTCTTATAACGCTTATGCGCTTGTGACGGAGACATGGTTGCGTAGTGTAGCGGATAACGTGTGGGAATGCAAAACTGGAGGCCGGGGGTGCGACTCCCTTTAAAGGTTTCTTTTTTTTGAACAGCTGTTTTATAGTGTTCCCTCATCCGCCTTCTCTTCGTAATTGCTAAATATTAAAAAATTTTGTTAAAATATTTCTATTTAAGTGTTCAACAACAAATAATATAAATATCATAACAAACAAAAAATTTAACAAAGATGGGAACAATCGATGAAATTAATAAAATCGAATGTGCGAAGCTATGCATCGCAGCTCATACGCTTTTATGTGTTGTGCTAAATGTAGTATTGGACTATGTTTTACTCATTTCATCGATTGTTCCCATCTTTGTTAAATTTTTTGTTTGGTATGATATTTATATTATTTCTTGTTGAACACCTAAATAGAAGATTTTTTTTAACAAATTTTTGAATATTTAGCAATTACGAAGAGAAGGCGGATGAGGGAACCCTATAAAACAGCTGTTCAAAAAAAGAAAAATTTCAAGGGAGTCGCACCCCCGGCCTCCAGCTTTGCATTCCGCTACACTACACAACCATGTCTTCGTCACCCGCGCATAAGCATTATAAGAGACTTTTTCCGCAAAATTTTCTCTACAAAACAAAAGATACAAAATATATGTATTTAATATTTTCATTTTAGTAGTGAAAGCATTCTAAAAGTATTTATACCTAGCTTGGGATTTCTGAATGTCATTATGAGAAGCGTTTTATCTGAAGCTGTACAATAATTTCTTTTTTAAAGCTTGGAGTAAGAATATCTGGTCCAAGTGTTCTTCATCGAAAAAAAATCCGGTCTAACAAATGGGCACTTTAAAATCTCGAAGGTGGAAAGTGGGAGAGAAATGACAGAAAACAAAAATATGAGTGACCAATCCTCCAGGAAAGCCCACACAACACTCAAAATATGTGACAAGCTCTGTGTGTCAATTATCCTCTTTGTTTCTCTCAAGGTATCACTTTCTCAGTTACGGATGATTCCTATTTTCTCACTTTTTTTACGTCAAAATAATGTGTTCCCCTCAAGTAGTGCATTTTCTAAAACATGTCAATTTTTAAAAACTATCATAATCTTGTTTTTCTCCAATTTATCTACACTTTAAAAGCTCAAAAGTGATATTGTATCATTCTTTGTGAACCGGGCCCAAAATAGGTAGATATCCAATAAAAAATAAACTCTAAAAAAGCTGCTGCTAAAAAAAGCTGATAGGCAGATATCCAATCTACCTATCTTCTTTTGGCCCGATTCACGAAGAAGGATACAATATCACTTTTGAAATTTATAAGAACTATAAGATCTATCTGTATTACCCTCATAAGTCGACTCTTTTGTTTATTTCTTTGCAAAGAAATCTCCAGTATTCCTTCACATCGTCAGTTTTCTTCTCGGTTCACTAACCATCAATGACATTACCTTCACGAGAAAGGAGTGAAACGATTAAAAATTTACGACTTTCGATCCCTTATTTCGCTGGCCCTTTACCTTGACGCACTGGTTTTGTCTTGATTTCAAGGAGAAATCTTCTGAACTTTTGAAATAAACAATGTATACTTTTATCGATTTCAATAGTTATTGCTGTCTCATTGCAATGTGAAATCTGATCCACATTTCTTGTCTAGCTCTTTTTCCATGTTTCCTATCTCATAACACTCTTTTTTTTTCGCATTTTACTACTTTCTAGTAAAATGTTTATGTCATATTTTAAAACTTTTCTTTGCAAGAAGCGTTTCTCTCCATTCTCTCCATTTAATTCAAAGTAAACAATGTCTTAAGACGTCGTTGAAAGAAAGGGAGATTATCGGACACCAAACACACAAGGAAATGCATACTTCATTTGCATTTGAAACCCCTACTCGAAATGAATCTTGAAGTTTTGAATGAAGTTCGTATGAACTACTCTTATGCAATATTTGGCTATAAAATTTGATCCTATATTCTCTCATAATGGAACACTTTACTGGAGATGTCAAGTGAAATTCCTTCAGATTCTCGGGTTCAATTCGCAAATGAACTACTCGAACTACTTAATTCTCAAATGAACTATGATGCAAAGGTTCATAAAAGATAAAAACTACAAAAGTCGTCAAGATTATGGTAGTTTTCGGAAGTTGATATACTTTAGAAAACACTCTTTTTCCAAAAATCTTCAAGAATAACCAAAAGAACTCATCGAAGCTAATCTCCTCACTCATTCATCACCCTCAAATCGGTGATTTGTTTCATTAGTCGAGAGGGGGAAAAGAGTGAACCGAATTGTCACCTCGTCCTTTCAATTCCTTTTGATTTGTCCACAAGAAGAGGGGCACTAATATCCATCCATATGCTGTTTAGTGGAAGGGAGAAGACCTCTGATTGTCACATTAAACCGCTCTAGTCAAGAGGAAGAGAGGACACATCACTCTCTTGATTGACGCAAAGCTCATTTCTTGTCTTTTATTGGTGCGCGAAAAAGAACATAGCCTTTGGTAGGGTCAGCTTATGCAAATTAAGCACGCTTCTTGACACACCGCACCATCTTTGACCCTCTCCCAAAAATGGAAACAGCTGAAAAGAGATAGCCCACTCTGACGCAACGATTTCCTCTTTCTGGTTACTGTAACGTTCAAATTTTTAGTCTTTTTTGATTTTTATCAACTTTTACCTTATAAGAACCTACCGTAAATACTGTAATAGTACCCCACCCCCCTCGTACAGACGCGTAGTCGCAAAAGTTTTTTAGTATTTCATTTTTTTCAAAGCGCCCGTACTTTCAAAAATGTGTCTTTGGTATCAAAAAATAGCCCTGAATTTCAGCTGTTTTTTTGATAACTAAGCGCGCATTGTAGCATAAACCAGTGTCGAGAAAAACGCGTTCAAAGCTAGACTACGCAACACTCCGCACTGTCATTATGGGGGTAGGGTACTATTACAGTATTTACGGTAGATCTTGTTTCCAGAATCTGAAATATTTTAACTATTTCAGTTTTGCTATTGGATAGAATAGCTTTTTTAAATTTCTAACGCCTCTTTTCTCTTTTTGTCTTTCAGTTCTCAATCTTTCTACGCAATGGTAAAGCCATATTCGATAAAATTTAAGGATTTTTGTTTATTTTCACCAAGAACTAGCCACCCTAATCTTTAGAAACTTTCAGTAATCGTGAAACAATTAAAGACAAGTGTATTGTGGTAGAGAAGAGAAAGGGGATGGGGCTAAAGGAGAATCGGTGGTGTCATTCGATCCAATGTCCCTCAAAATCCCATATTGTTGCGAGAGAGTTCGACGCCTCTTTTCTCTTTTTGTCTTTCAGAATACGTTTATTTGCTTTTTTTTATGTCCGTCCACAACCATATACATCGGAAACACTTTAGTCCCTTAAATTAGAGTTTTCTAGGGAAAAAAACTGACGAAAAAAACTCATTTGTCTCAACTTTTATCAACTTTTATTATCAAATTTGCTGCTTTTTCTAAAAGATGAATAATATAGAAAGCTTTCTTTCAGATTTGTTTCGATTTAATTTTGATTGATTGAAGAAAAATCGAATCAAATCAAATTGAATCAATCAAAACTTGAATTGAATGAGTCGAAATTATCCTAATAACGGCAAAATCTGAAGGAAATATTAAAATAGTTTTCCAAATTCAAATTCCTAAGCAATTCTAAAGCTAGCTTATCTTAATTTTTGATAAATCTTTTGTCTTATATTCGAATGATTTAAAACCAAACCAATAAGTCTGTTAGCCAATAAAGTTGTAAGATGCCAATAAAGCCAAACCAATAAATTTGTAAGGGGATTTGGGGTAATTTTTTAAATGAGATCTCTCATTTTTCATCCATTTCACTTCTTTTTATTTCCTTTTTATTCCACTTTTCCCTTTTCTTCCACTTTTTTTCTCTCTCTTTACCTCCAAGATTTCTAATTGGCAGCTTCTCTTTGGAAAGGGTGAGCTCTTTTCCTTTACCCCCCGTAATTTTTGAAGCGCTTTCCAAGAAATTATGGTCAGTTCTCTTATACCACTGAGTTTATTGTTTTTTTTTACGTTTTAGTCAATTTAAGCATGAAAAAAAAGATGCAGTTCGAAATCGCGTCGAAAATTTGCGCAGCTGTCTGCGAACACGAATGTAATTGGGTCTCTCGAGTACATCACATTTTCACCGCACAACTGAGAATTTTTAAATGAAACCCTTTGAAGGGTTTCATTGAGCTTTTTTTTGAAGGGTTATATTTAGCTTGTGCAGCACTTTTTGTAGGTTTTTTTTGGTTTGACTCTGTAACACAATGTTTAAAGGTTCAAAGGCTTTACTGGGTTTTTATTTAGTTTGCAAATGTTTGCAAATGTTTCAAATGCAAATGCAAATGCAAAATCGTTTCTTATGCTTTTGTGTCTCTCAAAGAAACTCTAAGCTATTGTGCTTTTCTAAAAGACATCTAAAACTACCGTAATCTAGCTGTCAATTTTGGATGATTAGCTGGAAATTCCTTATCAAATGATAAGGCTGATCAAATGTAAACAGCTGTTCGACTACAGCAGTTTTCTAAAATAGATATCTTTTAGAAATTGAATTAAAAGAAAACAAGATGAACATTACTTCTTTTTGTTGAAATAACTTGTAAACAAATACTTGTAACGATCAAAATCAAGATGCTCAACTCAGTAACGATTAGACGACATCAATCTCTCGGGTAAACACAACTTTCCCATTGATTTCAAGCAAAGAATCTTTTTTTCGCATATCTTTTCTATTTTTCGATGAAATTTTAATGCAAAAAGTTGAGAGTTTTTCTGAAGAGGCTAATATTTTTGAATGGATAGCTGATCGAAATGCGTGGAGAGATTTTGGCACGCGATCCTCACACAGACATTGCATATTCATTTCTCTTTCCCTTTTTGCTCCTCAAATCTCTTCTCATTTCCCCAAAAACAAGAGATTTTTCTCTTCTCTTTTTATTTTTTTACTTATTCTCTGGGACTATGTATAATTTTTATATGCTTCTGGAAAATTGTTGCTAGAAAATTTGTCAAGTTTGCCTTTTGGCCTAATAACTTTCTTCTTGTTCTTGTTCTTCTTGTTCTTCTTGTTCTTGTTCTTCTTGTTCTTGTTCTTCTTGTTCTTGTTCTTCTTGTTCTTGTTCTTCTTGTTCTTGTCCTTCTTGTTCTTGTTCTTCTTGTTCTTGTTCTTCTTGTTCTTGTTCTTCTTGTTCTTCTTGTTCTTCTTGTTCTTCTTGTTCTTCTTGTTCTTGTTCTTCTTGTTCTTCGTGTTAAGCTCATATCACAAAATTGAAAATATATTTTATATAACTAATCATTAAATACTATTTTTATTACTATTTTATTATTATTTTATTACTATTTTATTTAGATTTATTCAAAGAAGCTGATAAAACCAGAGGTTAAACCATGGTTGAATGAAAAGGGATTACGAAATGCTGTATTCCGCTTTACCTTAACTGGTTAACATTTGTGTACACAAGAGTTGTTTTCAAAGAAAGTATATGCAAAGAAAAAGGTTTAGTGAGGGATGAGTAGCCGAAAAAGAGATGACCCTCTTATGGTCAAGAGAGGGAAAATTGGGGGAACAGGAAAGAACAAATCGACTCATATGATCTTTAAGAAATGTTCCTTTACTTCATAAATATCTATGCAATTGTTCTCATTCTTGCATAGTCTGTATGAAATTGATTATGCGAAATGAGTGAACTCTGGGGAGACGGGGTCACAATGTCTCTCTTTCGATCCCAATTCCCACTCATTGCCCAATCGTCATTGTCTGGACCCGAACTCGAACTTTATGAGGCTCTATATATGGATTTTGGGCGCACACCTGATTGCTTGTGACTCGTAATTGCATACGGAATCAGCTAAAAGCAGCACAAAGCAGCTCAAAGCACTTTTGAAATTGTGCTTGAAAGTTTTATTCTGTAATTCTGGCTAAAGTTTTAATTGATCTGGTTTTAGACGATCTGATTTGAGTTGATCTGATTTTAGTTTAGTCTAGCTAAAGTTCTTACGGTATTTAACAAATGGAATGATTTTTATTTACTCAATTTTTATTGTATTTCTTTATTTATTTTATTCTATAGCTTGGAACACTCGATCTGGTACACTAAAAATTGCTGGATTTTGATTTACAGTTTTAAAATATTATCTTGCTGTTTATCTGGCTCCAAATTATCTGAGCTTATCTTGATCTTTTTTAAAATGATTGATCAAAATCCTTTTTCTATAGACTGTCAAATATTTCCTAAACAAAAAATTAACCCTTGAATCCTTACATCCTTGAATCCTTGAATCCTTAAATCCTTGAATCCTTGAATCCTTGAATCCTTGAATCCTTGAATCCTTAAATCCTTGAATCCTTGAATCCTTGAATACCTGAATCCTTGAATCCTTGAATCCTTGAATCCTTAAATCCTTGAATCCTTAAATCCTTGAATTTCCAAATTCCATAAATTCCCATTTTCTTGTGAAGATGCTTGAGTACAATGGTTGAGTCTCATTGTTTGACACAAGCAAGAGAGTATGGATAGAGTGGATTAAGGCAAATGGTCGATCCACAAGATGTTCCCCACTTCAACGATTACAATGAATAGAAGAACGAAAAAAGAAAAGGGACAATATCTGCTTCTTTTTTTATTCTTTATATACAACTTCTTGCACCAGCTGACCCTGATGAAGCTACTTTAGAAAAAAGGGTAGCTTTAACAGTGAATTTTCTTTTATTTTCATTGCTTTTCGTTGCACTATGCCATTTTTTTTGTTTAAAGCTCTGAATGAAAGGTTTTCTTTTAGAACCTTTTTATCTACCTTGCATTTACGGTTTAAAATTTACATTTATAAGCTAGATAAATGCAAATTCTGCTTAGGAGATTAAAAAGTAAACCGTTTTCCCCTCTGTTTCTTGTAACTTTTTGAAAAGTTGAACCAACCCAGGACTTTTACAAATGTGTAGATCCACCAATAGAAATCTCAAACATACACAACACACACCCGTAATACTTTCAAAGACATTTCGCCGTCATGATACCCATTTCTTGGCCTACCTTCACCCCCTTTCTTCCCATTTTTGTCCCTTCTGGTCGTGGTTTTGATTTATGTTCAAACTAATCCCTACTCGGACATTCTCCTTCATTCTGTTCTGCTTCCTTCACTTCTCCATCCAATCTTTTTCATTTCTCACTTTCTAATCCCAAACCATTCACTCACAAACTCATCTTCTTCCTCGACTTTTCCTTTTCATTTGTCTTTCATTTGTCTTTCATTTGTCTTTCATTTGTCAAAGTTTCACTTTCATTTAAAACAGTAATTAATTTTCAGTTTAAAATTTCGTGACAATGTTGAGATGACGTCGATTTCGTTACTTCTGATAATATTGCTCGCACCTTTGCGGAAAACATTGGAATTTATTGGTAAGTGTTACAATGGAAAAGTTGATACTTGGAACGAAAAAAGATATTTAGTGTTTTAAATCGTGTCCTTTTTAAAACATGGCAACTTCCAGTACCGTAATCTTGCCACTTTTATTCAATCTACCGTATTTCTTCGAATAGAAGACCGGGTAAAGAGTATCATCGCGTACTCCTGCGTAGCAGCCCTTTTTAAAATTTCTTTTCTGCATAAAAGCTTTCAATGAAGTGCTATAGAGCTGGAAAATGGCTCAAAAACCTGTTAGCTCATGTGGTATTTTTGAGTCATTTTCCAGCCCTATAGCACTTCATTGAAAGCTTTTATGCAGAAAAGAAATTTTAAAAAGGGCTGCTACGCAGGAGTACGCGATGATACTCTTTACCCGGTCTTCTATTCGAAGAAATACGGTATCCACTTTTCTATCTTTAATTCCTTTACATTTTTGCATGAACAAATCGATTCATAAGTTAGAAAAACTAGAGAAAAGATTACGATACTTTTTTAAAATTAGCACATTTTAGAAAAGACATTGAGAGAAATAATGAGTTGTCGTTTAGCCAATAGAACTGATTTGTTTATCTCTAAGCTTTACGTTTTCTATTTCTTACTGTAGCTCTTCCCCTTTGTTAGTGGCACCCAGCTGAATTGTGACAATGAATAGGGCAAAGATGTCGACTTCTTTTGACTCGATCGCCATAATGTGGTCACTTCATTGACGCGCGCATGTAATTGACCGTTTGAGAAGAATCTTTCGAGAAAAGGAAAAGGGAAAAGGAAGGGGATAAGTGAAATGAGAGTAACAGTGTTACCGAAGAGCAATTGTGAATACCCATCTCTTTATTGCCCTCCCCCACTCACAAGACCCCATCATTACACCCATCAACCACAAGGCACACGAAATTCTTGGATTTTGGAGGAGAAAAGTTGAGGGATTAAATAAGAATATTAGTTTTATTCGCCAATTTGAATTATTATCAAAAATCTCGTTCTTTAGATGAAAGCGCTTGTCCATTTGGTTGGCAATCGTCGGGAAGTGCCTGCGTTCGACCATTTTTGATAGCCAAGGTTGGCATGAATAGAATAAAATGAAATTTTTGCGTTTTCTAAAACTACCGTAACCTTATTTTTAGTTTCATTCATGCACTTTTTGTACCATTTACTTTCTATCTACTTTTTGTATCTTTTGGTTCATTCGTTACTCTCACAGAATCAGAAATAAGTAGATAGAATAGACAAAACTAGACGGTAGTTTTCTTAAAGTTGACAATTTTAGAGTTTTCGAAAACAATATTGAAAAGAAATTTTAGGATAAAGAAGGCGCGCAAAAAGAATGTGGACTTGCTGGTGGACGGCTCGTCTCACCCACTGATTCGCTACTTATTGGAGATCTTGTCGATCTTCTACAGGTAAAAAAATATTAGACTACATAAAAAACACGAGGAAATCATCAGAATATTATCTTTTTAAGAGCCTCTACGATTTGGGATTAGCTGAAACAACTTGGTTGCTTGGGTCGGAAGGAGAGGATTTCACGGAAAAAGAGGCCGATTTGTGGAGAACATCCGCTTTGAGGAGAGATCCGACCGGAGAATATAGAATGTAAGGCATTTGCATTTTTCAAAACCTATTACAACTACCGTTTATTATTAGAGCTAAATTTGATTACAATACAAATTACAACTATTATTTTAAGAAGTAAAGTTCTTTTTTGCGGCTATTGATGCTAAAATTGATCCGAATATGATCAGAATCAATACAATTCGCTTGTCGTGTGATTTGAAAGTGTTCAAAACAAAAGAAAACTGATCAAAAGAGGTTTAGTGGAAGAAAATGATTTTGAAGAGAGGAAAAATGATGAAAAAATGACAAAAAGAATCGCCTAATATAAAGGCACAATTACAGTAATCCGACGAATAAAAAAAAGTCGCGATTTATTGGGTTGGTGAATTGAAAACTGTCGGACTTTGAACTAAAATTTATTCAATATAAAACCATCAATTCCTTCCAAATAACCTCCATTATTATTGACGACTTCTGCCCATTTTACAGGCAATTTGCGGATTCCTCTTTCGTAGTAGGATTTTGGTTTCGAATCGAAAAACTTTCAAAGCCAATTTTTGACTGCTTCTTCCGAATCGAAGTGTTCTCCCGCAAGCTCATTACTCATGATCCGGAATTAATAGTAATCAAAAGGGGCGACTTCTGCCCATTTTACAGGCAATTTGCGGATTTCGGATTCCTCTTTCGTAGTAGGATTTTGGTTTGGGTGTGAGACAAGTGTGAGACTCAAAAATGGAGGACTGGAGATGTCCCAGTTTGAGCACTTTCTTCAAAAGAAACCCATTTTGGTGTCAATGGAAAAGTTGTAGAGAATCAAAAATTAGGCTTATAGCCAAATTTCCAAAAAGATACACTTAGTAGTTTTGCTTAAAATGCAAGTTTTGTGAAAATTCGTAAATTTGGCATTTCTTGAAAACCAGTTTTTGAATCGTTCTGAAAATTTGGATATAAGCTTGATTTTTGATTCTCTACAACTTTTCCATTGACACCAAAATGGGTTTCTTTTGAAGAAAGTGCTCAAACTGTCACATATGACAATAGCCGGCAGTTTTCAATTCACCAATCCAATAGAAGAACCAACCAAACGATTTCAACATTCGAGTTGAAACAATTATCTTTCAGAACAGCCGTCCCAGCCTCAGCTGTTTATCCCTTCGTCTGCAGTCTTTCACATATCGCAAGGAGAAGATTATTATTTCAACAACAATTGATACCAAAAGGTGAGAAATCCTTCATCCTTCATCCTAAACAAAATCCTTCATCTTCTAGGCGCTGTCCATTTGAGCGGGAATTCCCCGGCGTCAATCTATTTCTACCCGCGTCAACTAACGGATTTTGTCGCTTTACCGTGCACAGCTGAGGGTCATCCGACACCAAGAATTACTTGGCACAAAAACGATGTTGAACTAGTGAGTGGAAAGGTTGGAAAACAAACAAAGATCAACTCTTTCCAGGTCTCAGCAACCGATTCGAATTCCTCATTTCTTCTATCGGGTGGCACACTTTTAGTTCCAGCGACTCCAAATCTTGCGTACACGAAATTTCACTGCACCGCCTCTAATAAACTCGGTATGACACATTCAACTGTGCAAATGATAACTCGAGTGTGTTCCTCTCAAGTAATACGTTTTCTAAAAGGCACCTATTTTAGAAAACTACAAAAGAGCTGTTAGTTTAAATTTGAATCAGCTCAATTTTGGTATTATTGACTGAGCCTTTTAATTCCTCATCGAATGATACCAAAATTGAGCTGATTGAATTTAAACTAACGGTTTGTTTGTAGTTTTCTAAAATAGATGCCTTTTAGAAAACGCACACCCTAGGTAGAACTAGTCTTGGTACTTGAAATAAACTCTAAAATAAAGTTTTAGGCTCGGTTCGAGGCGCATCCGTGTTGGTGAGAGCGGCTTTCGTGGAAGCATTTGCAACAAGGAGATTCGATGCATTCCCGTTAGCTGATGGAGGAGCTCGACTTGAATGCATGGCACCAGCACATCAACCAAGTTAGTTTAAAGATGCTTATCATTCTAATCCTAGTGATCAAGGGGCTTCAATCAAAGAATCAGCTTCTCCAAAATAGTGTAGCGTTTTGGTTTCCAAAAATTTCAATCATTTTGAGTTAATTCTGGCTTTTTTTAGAGCAACATTGAAAAATTCACTGTTTCTCTAGCGTTATCTCTAGAGAAATGCATAAAAGTTAAACAACACATCAAAAAACACTGTAGTTTATCAATCACTCACTTATCAAACAAATCACAACCAGAAAATTGAATCCTCAAGTCTGAAATCTAGCTAACAGCACGACTCAACTTACTAACACAAAAAGAAACAAGATTACTTGAGCTTTCAATAAGTTCGATCAACAATTTCTAGCAATTATTGCATGATCTGCATGGCTTATAAATGAAATACGACTTTCGTTTTGTGCTGTAAAAATTCGATTGCCCGTCACGATCAAATTGGACCCCTTCACCTGGCAATTCAAGAGAATAAAACTTTCCCCCCAAAAGTCTCTCCTCATTTCTCCTCATTTCTTTTCATTTCTTTGATTACTCTTCTCTGTTTTGTAATCGAATTCAAGGGGAAAACCTCTCCCGGGGAAACGCCTTCTCTTCAACTTCTCTTCAACTTCACTTCCATTTCTTTTCCATTTCTTTTTCCCTTCTTTTTCCTTCTTTTCTCCTTCATTCGTCTTCATATCTTTTTCGAAACTTTTATGGGAAATCGGTTTTCTTATGGCTTTTCTTTTCAAAACTTTCTTCTCTGATTGAAGGAATTTATGTGTGAAAATTTTCGGCTCAATCTTTATAGCTGTTAAAATATTGATGAAAAGAAGTTGGCTTTGTCGGCATTTATCAGTGAAAATTTTAATGACGTTTGTTCTTTTTAAATGAAGCTTTCTAGAACATGCGAATTTTCGAAAAGTACCGTACTTTTGCTTTTACAATCTGGCTTGTGTATCTTTTCTTTGATTACTCTTCAAAGAAACTTTTCTTTAGTATTTATTATTATCTTCTCTTTTCTTTAGTATTTATTTTCGATGAACCATTACAGAATCTGAAATTTGATAGATTAAATAGAAAAAGAGACAACTTACAGTAACCCAGATAGTTTCTATCGTATACTTTGGTTACTGTAACATCTCGGATTATTGTAGATTGAAAAATCTAGAGACAAGATTAGTTTTAGTTTTAGAATGGTTGAGAGGAAGAGGCTTTAATGCTAGTTTTTATCTATTCGTTTTATTTAGGAATTTGATTGGGAAAATGAATAGAAATCTAGATTCAAGAAAGATTTTATTTAACAGAAAGCTATCTAGTAACTGGTAAGCATCTAGTTTAACTAGAATTCGGATTAGATTTATAAGCTTGATCACTTTTACAGGCTACGATTAGCCATAGACGAATAAAACTCTTAGGCTTTACACCGCATTTCGTATACTTCGGTGATGGGAATCAGAGAGAATTTTGGGGGAATTGAAGAGAAAAGAGACAAATTTGGCCGCAGTCATTGCTTCTTCTTTTGTTCGATTTAGCGATAGAAAACAGAGAAGACCCCCAATCTTTGTCTTTCTTTTTTTTCTTCTTCGATTTCTTTTTCGATTGAGTGCCACTTCTGATGTGATTTCCCCCGTTTGGGTCTATCACCGATCACTATACATTTCCTATTTCACTAAAGTTAAGTCGTTTTGTTTTTTGGAGCAACTATAGTCGTGACTTGGGTTTGCAAGAATTCTGGGAACTAGTTTTTATTTTGTTTGAAAGTCTTCAGCTGTAAAAGAATTTTATTGAAAACAGGTCCTAAATCTTACTCATTTTACTCCCCATTTAAGTCCCATAGTCACTTCACTGCTTTATTTTCCATGTTTAAAAGCCTTCTAGGTACTTGCGAATAAGATTTGAATCGTTTCAAGGGAATTGTGGACGAAATTGCAATTTCGTTTGAAGGGGGGAAGGGTTTATCTGAAGGAAAAGAAAAGAAAGGGAAGATTCTTTTCTTTATAAAAGGGCGCATCGAGAGACATCCCATTTGAAACCCATTCCATCCGCTTCTTCCCTTTGGTCTTCCCCGAATAGGGCCTGTTAAATTTCGACCCTCTTTTTTTCTTCTTTCATTTACGTCATTTTCATTTTGGCCTTTTTAGCATTCATATATAGCTTTAATATTTTGATTAAATAACAACAAAATTGCTATTAGGTTGATGCAAAAGTCTTTTCATTTTTTTCGTACTTCTTTTGAAAAATAACAAAGTCATCAATTAACCTATGGTTTGCTCTAAATGAAAAGTGTTTATTGTTCAATTTCCCATCTTTTTAAGTCAATTTGGGTTCACTTTCAAGCAAATTCGAGAGTGAAAACGGGTTTTTCATAAAAATCTATAAAAACCTCTATAAAGAAATTGGCTGAATCAATTTCTCTGAAAATCTGAAAAAATATCTAACTTTTTGTGCTCTATCTTTTATTTATTAACATCAAGATTGGTTTCCTTAGCTAAAGCGTCTAAAATACATCATCGAGCCGTCGCCTTTTTTGACTACCCGACTTCAGGCTCTCAAAAAAATCTAGACATAAGACATTTTAAACTCGTTTTAATGTCATTTTGCAGAAAAATAATTGGCCTTTCGAATGCAATAAACCGTTGTTCAATTGGTGCATTTGTTACTTTTTAACGGAAGTACGAAAAAAATGAAAAAGACTTTTGCATCAACCTAATATTTTTCTTTGCCCGCTGTCATATTAGAGTTTTAAAACGCGTACAAGGGATACACTTATTCAAATCGATTCTTTCAAATCTATGTTGACTACATTTGTTCCGAATTCCGATAAAGATAATCAAAATTTTCATTTAAGACATCCTTAGCCTAATAATTCAAACAATTCAAAAACAGAAAGTACTCCCTCTAAAATGTCCTCCCTCAAAAAGTATAAAAAATTACTCCGGAGAGTACTCCCTCTAAAGTGCCTCCGTAGGTTCCAGTTAAAATATTCTGAGATTCCTCCGAGCAATCCATTTTCCAATTAGAAACAGTAAAACTAAAATTGAATGCACACATTTTACAAAAAAAGTCATTCAAAAGGCCCAAAGATGGCCGAGATATGAGAGTGAGAAGAAAAAAGGGACACTTTTTGAAGCATTTTCTTGTTTTTTCATTTTTCATTTAACTTCTTAGCCTAATAATTGAGTCAGATATACTGGAAAGCCTATAACATTGCCTTTCTCAGATTTTAAAACTAGAATTGGTAACTCTGGCGATGCACTATAAACCTTATTGAACTCTACAACTTTACAATTAGATCTCGATTCTGAACTAAACTTTGAGCCATCTTTGATCGCTAAACTTTGAGCTTCATAACTATTCTCCTTCAACTGTACCAATGCATGAATTTATTTAAGAGAAAGCTTCCCCATTTTTCTGCTTGGTTGGGTTCAGTTCTTTGATGGCAAACGAGACGATTGAATTAGTTTGGGATCTGTCAGTAAAGAGAAGAAGAAGAAAAAGAAGAAGATCCTCTCTTTTCGATCTCCCCCAAAACTCCCTATTGGCCAAATTTACTCAGTTGTCCTCATCGCTTTGCACCCAAAAAGTAACACTCTTCCTATGGTAGTCAATAGAAACGAAGAGTTTTTTGCTTGGGGTTTGTTTGGTTTTTCTTTTTCTTTAAAGTAGTTGACAATTTCTTTATTTTGAATTACTTTGCTTAACCAGCTAGCCAGATCAAAACCTATCCTGTTTTCTAACCTGACCTCATTTGATCAATAGGGGACCAACAACCGGAACTTGATCTGGATCTGGATCTGGACTTGAAACTGTCGAGACCTAAACCAGAATCTGGGCCTGGATTGGACTTTTGCCTGAGATCTGGTCCTGGATCTGGATTCAGATTCTATGATTCTGGATATAAAAGCAGCCAGACTGGTCCCAACTTCTGGTATAACCTGTTCTAAGTCTTCAAAAGGATAGGATAACTGCAACCAGATTGGACATCACCTAGCTTGAACGGTTCCAATACGGTTCATATTTTGATCTAATACGGTTCCAATACGGTTCTTTTTTTGATCTAATACGGTTTCAATACGGTCTGATATTTTTTGATCTAATACGGTTCCAATACGATTCCAATATGGATCCTATTTTGATCCAATACGGTTCCAATAACGACTGTTTCGATGACTTTACTTGCTGTAGTATCTATTAGTTTCAAGCCTGAATTCCTATTCCTTCCACATAGAAATTCTCTTTCAAGTCTCGTATCAGTTGTTCTCATTCTTTATTTTTCTTGCCTTTGTGGGCGTTCTGTTACAACAGCTGTCTATATTTTTACCCTTTTCCCTTGAAATCGACCTGTTTCGTCGTTTCGCCGTTACCTCAAATTGAGTGATCGGATGTTTTTTTGATTTTCTGTATTTATCATTAAGTAATCAATAATTTTCGTCAAAGTAACCATCGTAAAAAGGCTTTATGCAAGTCACCGATAAGAGTTGGAGACATTTTGAAGAATCTAACCAATTATAGATAACTAGGTATTGATTTATTGAGGTTATTTTGTGAAAATGGATTTACCGTATTTTCTCTAATAGTAGTGGACTCCGCCGAGCCGAGTTGATGACTATTTTACGGTTTCTAAGTTGTCGCAGAAGCTCAACACTCTAATCTCCCACGAGATCTTATCGTCAGCTACATTTTCCGACCCCACATCGATCGGTTCCGATAAGCGCTTTTCGAGATTTCGACCAATTTAGGCAACGCTCAGGGTGCACTATTGGGAAAATGCGATAACAGCTTGAGTTACCATAAATCAAATCTGGATTGTTGGCCGGGATCCAGGCTATAAGCTTTCCAAGCTTTCACAGAAGCTCAACACTCTAATCTCCCACAAGATCTTATCGTCAACGACATTTTCCGACCCCACATCGATAGGTTATGATAACTGCTTTTCGAGATTTCGAGGAATTTAGGCAACGCGCAACTACTATTAGAGAGAATATATGGAAAATTTTGGGGA